CATTTCCTGTGATACTGGTTTGGTGTTGAATTCCTTTAGTTGATTTTTGTCTGGGAAGCTTTTTATCTGTCCTTCAACTCTAAATGATAGCTTTGCCGGATGAAGTATTCTTGGTTGTAAATCCTGAGTTTTCATCACGTTGAATATTTTGTGCCAAGCCCTTCTGTCCTGCATAGTTTCTTTTGAGAAATCAGCTACCAGTCTTATGAGTGCACCCTGGTAGGTAACTAACTGCTTTTCTCTTGCTGCTTTTAAGATTTTCTCTCTGTATTTAAGCTTTGGCATTTTAATTATAATGTGTCTTGGTGTGGGCCTCTTTGGGTTCATCTTTTTTGGGACTCTCTGAGCTTCCTGGGGTTGTATGTCTCTTTCCTTCACCTGATTAGGGAAGTTTTCCATCATTATTTCTTCAGATAGCTCTTCAGCTTCTTGTTTTCCTTCAGGTACCCCTATGACACAGATACTTATACATTTAATAGTGTCCCATATGTTCCTTAAATTATTATTATAGTCTTGCTTCTTTTTTCTTGCCATTTTAATTGAGTGTCCTTGGCTTCCCCAACCTATGTATCAGTGGTTCAATCCTCTTCTTTATCCATTGTTTATTCCCTCTAATATACTCTTCATCTCAGATAATGTGTTCTTCATTTCTGACTGGTTCCTTTTTATTTCCATTTCAATTTGTATTTTTTTTTTATCTATTTGTTAAAGTTCTCACTGAGTTCATCTACACTGCCGGTAAGTTCATTGAGCATCTTTCTAACCAGTGTTTTGAACTCTGCCTCTGTTAGATTGCTTGACTCCATTATTCTTGGATCTCTGTTGTGTTTTCTCATATGGTTTCTGCTTCTTTGTCTTCCCATATTGGCTGCCTTTCTGTGTCTATTTCTATGTTCTAAGTAAAGCTCCTAAGTCTCCTGGTCTTATTAGTGTGGATTTGTGAAGTAGGTGTCCAGTGGCACAGTCCTAAGAGGAGTTCGGCTGCAGGCCAAGTTTAGCCCCAGCCTGTGCCCCTCTGGGGCCACCTGTTAAGATTCAGCGAGCAATCCGCAGATGTTGTGCTTCTAGTTGCCTTAAGAGGCCACACTAGAAACCGAGGCCAGCTGTCACCAGTGTGAGTCTTGGCACTTCTCAGCAAGGGGCACTCCGAGAACAGAACTACATGTGGCTTGGGTGGGGTCGTAAGTTGGAGGAGGTGGAGTTTAAGGGAATCCTCTGGGCAGAACAACTTCTGTTATTCAGTTTGATGACATCTCAGCTATAGTGGTGCTGAGTCTGCACACTGGGAGTGGGGAGGGTTCAACAGAGGATACCGCTCGCACTTCTGGCTGGGAGATAGCCTTGCTGCTGGCCCTCACTCCAACAACTCAGTGTCCCCCTGTAAGTTCCTGATGCCCTTTTCCTTCCCTGTGCAGCTGACCTGGTGCTGGTGCTCAGAGCGACAGTGTCCATCACCACAAAAGTCCCCTCGTGGACACGGTTTTTTTAAAAGGCATCTGCAGCTGCTGGCTGCTGCTGCCATAGCCTCTGTCCCACTCAGCCGCTTGAGACCAGGCAGCCTTGCGTCTTTGCCATCTCCTACTTTATGCCATTGCAGGGTGATTTCTTTCTTCTCTCTCTAGTTGAAGTGCTCCTGTTCATATAGATCCCAGGTGACTTCGCTTGCTGTTTGTTCCATGTTTCTGTCACAACTTTGATTTGGTTGCAAGAGGGATGAATCTACGCCATTTTTTCTGCCTCTCTGGTTGTCTTAGATTTTACTTCCACATGTTATAAGCCGCATACTACATTGTTATTATTTTTGTTTAAACAGTTATCTTTTAAAGAGATGTAAATAATGAGAAAAATATCTAATACTTATATAGTTTTCCTTGTCAATACTTTCATTGTGTAGATCCACATTTCTAATATGGTGATTTATTTTCCTTCTGCCTAAAATATTATAATGTGAAATGGATGGTGAAATATTTTCTCAGCTTTGTATGCCTGAAAAGTCTTTTAACTTTGATTTTGAAAGACGTCTTCACTGGGCTGACAGTTTTTTCTTTCAGTACTTTAAAGATGATGGTCTACTATCTTTTTATTTGCTTTGTTTGCGATGTCTCCTGCTGTTGTCTTTTGTACTTAAGTGCCTTTTTTATCACTGGTTTTAAGTAATTTGATTATGATATGCCTTGCTGTAGTTTTTTTCATGTTTCAATGATGCTCTCTGTTCATTATTTAAATTATTTTTTCTTTCCAGTTTTTATGTTGCGAAGTTTAATTGCTATGTCTAACAGCTAATCTGTTAATTTCATCCATTGTATTTTTCATCTCATGTATTACAGGTTTCATCTCTAGAAGCTTTATCTGGGTCTTTTTATATCTTTCATATCTACTAAATTTTTTGAATATATAATACATTATAATTGTTTTAATGTTCTAGTCTTTTAATTATAATATCTTAATATTTTTGTCAGAGCTGGGTTGGTTTTGACCTTTTTCCCTTATTGATTATAATTTTATGTTTTGTTGGATATTTGGTAATTTTTTATTGAATACCAGACACTGTAAATATTATCTTTCTGGGTGTTGGATATTTTTATTTTTCTATAAAAAGTTTTAAACTTAGTCTGAGATGCAGTTAAGTTACCTGAAAATAGTTTGAGACTTTCAAGACTTGCTTTTAAGATTTACTAGGTAGTATCTAAGTAGTGCTCAGTCTAGGGCCAATAATTCCCCACTCCTGAGGCAAGACTTATCCAGATTTTCTACCCAATTACTGTGAATCACAAAATTTTTCTGTGACCCATATGCGGGCCAAGCACTGATCTCTTAAGTGTTTCTGGTCTTTCTTTCTCTGGCCTTATGAAATTTCCTCATATGCAGGTACTGTTAGTACTCAGTTGGATTCTCAAGGGGGACCCTATGAAGGTCTCTGGAGTTCTCTCTGTGTGTGGCTCTCTTCTCTCCAGAGAATTCTAACCACCTTGTCTTCTCCAATCTTATAATGTTTTCTCCTCAACCCAGGTTATTTCCTGGGCTCCTCCTGGTGTCCCTCATCCTGCACCACACCTTTTCTCTCCTAACATAGCTTCATATGCCTACTAGTCCTGTTTTTAATCCTTACTTTCTTTTGGTAAACAGGAACTCCTCCTCTTTTTGCGAGTTCAGCTATTTTTTAAATGTACTGAAGAATTATAAGAATAATACAAAGTTCTTCTCTAAGTCCTCTCACCCAGATTTACCAATTATCATTCTGTTACAGTTGCTTTAGCAGTCCCCAAACTTTTTGGCACCAGGGACTGGTTTCATGGAAGACAGTTTTTCCATGGACCAGGAGGTGGGAGGAATGGTTTCAGGATGATTCAAGCGCATTACCTTTACTGTATACTTTATTTCTATTATTATTACATTGTAATACATAATGAAATAATTATATAACTCACCATAATGAAGAATCATTAGGAGCCCAGAGCTTGTTTTCCTGCAACTAGTTGGTCCCATCTGTGGGTAATGGGAGACAGTGACACCCGAAGTGTGTTGCTTACGTCCAGTCTACTCTGTAATCTTGGTTTGGTTGCTTTCACTGCAGAAAACTCTACCTCACAAAGCTAGGATGTTGAAAATGGAAGCAGGCTTTTCAGTGCTTTTGTGGCAATCTCAGGATATTCTGCCTTGATTTTAATCCAGAACATGTGGAGATTTGAAGTTGTCTCAAACATACTTTTAAGGTCACCGTCATTTGCAATCTCAAGCAGTTGATTCTCTTTTGACACAAAAATGTTTCACCTGACTTATTCACAAATAGATTGTGGAACCATTCCTTCCCAGTTTGGGGGTCTTTTGTGGTAGGGAAGTAATGTTCAATTGGTGATCATGTACCAGCTGGGAGAAAGAAGGCCCTGGCTCATTCTCTTTCAAAATCTCTGCTAATGTTTGAAACATGTCAAAAATCCCATGTTCACTCATTGCCTCCGTAATTCCAGTTTGGCTTTGAATGCAGCCACTTTATCTCCTGACTTGAACATAGTCGTTGTTCTCCCCTGAAGTGACAGATTGAGTTGGTTAAGCAGGTTGAATATTTCACACAAGTGCAAGTTTTGCAGCCCATTCTGTGTCACTGAAATGTGCTACTAGTGGTGACTCTTTTTCTAAAATCTCTGGAGTGGCTCTCATAACCCCAAACCTGTGGCCAGTGATCTACCTTTAGAAAGCCATCTCACTTCTATGTATGAAAGAAGACGTGTGCTCTGTGTCCATCTCCTCACAGAGCTGAGCAAAGAGATGTGAGTTAAGGGCACGTACTTTAATGTAGTTGATCATTTTAATCACATCCTGGAAAATGTTAAGTTCAGGTGATTTCAGCTAGCCAGCATTTCTCCGTGGATGACATAGTGTGTAGACTCTCATTCAAAGCAACTTCTTTGACCTGAGTAGTGAAACCAGAAAGTCATCCGGTCACAGCAGCTGCTCTGTCCATGCGTATACCGACACAAAATGACCAATTCAGTTTCCTGATATGTACATTCACAGACTTGAATAGTTCTGCAGCTATGGTGTTGGTTGGCAGCAAAAGCACATATAACATATCCTCATGCACATCCTCCTGAAAAAGATATTGCCTAGAAGCAAGCATTGTTGCCTTGTTGTCAATATCAGTAGACTGGTCACCCTGGATTGTATACCACAGTGACTCATTAATCCTCTCTAATAATTGTGCCTCAGTATCCTCTGCTGTTTTATCAGTTCATCTAGTTATGGTGGTAGACAGAGGAACATGTGCCACCATTTGAACTATAGCCTTTCTTAAATGTTCACAACACATGTCCTTAGCAGCAGGCAGGATCAACTTTTCACAATAGTAAAGGGCTTCTTAGCTTTAGCAATGCAGTTAGCCACTAAGGATGACGCTCTCAGTGCAGACACTTGATGAAGTGGTAGTCTTCAATAATTGCTTCTGTTCTTCATGTTCATGTTTCTTTCTTTTGAAAAACTCTAAAGGCTTGTCTTTATTGCAGGGTGCTTGGTTTCCATGTGGTGAAGCAGTTTTGAAGATTTCATAGCTTCGTTGGATAGCTGGTCACCACATATTACACAAAGTGGTCTTGGAGAATGTGAATCACCTTGCAATGGACCCATGATTTAAGTAGGACTCATGGCATTTACTTTTAAATACAGCATGCTTTCTGTTGAAGTCTTGGAGTTTTCTGCTGTCTTATCATTGGATCTTTCCCCCTTTTCAAATAAGCTCTCCAGTGGCGTTTGTTTTTTTACTCATTTTGGCTAGAGTTAGCTTGTGGGCTTACCAAAACTGTGACCGAGAAGTGTGCAGTGTGGGAATGCAGCGCGGACAGATGTGGTAAATAAAATAATGGCGGGGCCATGCACGGACTGAAATAAATGTCAGATTCTGACAGCCTGGCACCAGATGCAACTGTACAATTGAAGTGCATCAACCCACTTGCCACTATAAAGCCTGTCATCAGATGCAGCTTAATCATCACTTGCCATTCACTGGTAGGATTTTGATATGAGTCTACAAGCAGTTGATTTATTATGGTCTCTGTGCTAATGTCAATCTGTATTTGCAGTCATTCCCCAGTACTAACATCACAGCCTCAGCTCCACCTCAGGTTATCAGGCATTAGATTCTCATAAGGCATGTGCAACCTAGATCGCTCACATGTGCAGTTCATAACAGAGTTTGCAGTCCTATGAGAATCTAATGCCTGATGATCTGAGGCGGAACTGAGGTGGTGATGCTAGTGCTGGGGAGCAGCTGCATATATAGATGAAGCTTCTTTAATCACTTGCCTGCTACTCAGCTCCTGCTGTGAGGCCTGGTTCCTAACAGGCTCCACTCTGGTACCAGTGCCGGTTCTTGGCCTGGTGTTGGGGATCCCTGCTTTATCACACACGTTCTCTTTCTCTTTCTCTCTACTCCCCCTCTAAATGCTATTTTTTTCTGAACCATTTGAGAATAAGTTGAAGACATCATGCTGTTTTATACCCCTATATTCTTTAGTGAATATTTTCCAAGAACAAGGACATTTTTACCAATAACCATCATACAATTATAAAATCCAGAAATGTAATATCAATGCATACTATGCATACTATTTTGAAGGGAAAACTCAGAGTCTTTCTTGTATTTCTCCTTTACTACTTATACAGAGCACTTCACTTGTGACATTTCTAGTCATCAAATGGTGGGAATTCTTGCCCATACCAAGCAATTCTGCAACATCAGCTGAGTGTCTTACAGTTTACTTCTGACACTATCCACCTGGAGATAACATCAGATCACACAACTTTAGGGCTTAGTCCCATGAGTCTGCCTCCTAGTTCAATACCAGAAGCAAGAGTTAGGTCCTTAGGTTACCCATAACTTCTGTCCCACTTGGCTACAAATAGGAAGTTCCCATGACCTCCTCCTTGGATTCAGTTATTTGCTAGAACAGCTCACAGAACTCAGGGAATCGCCTACTTCTGTGTATTAGTTTATTATATAATAAAGGATATGATAAATATGGACAGCCAAATAAATGATACATAGGGTGAAGTCTGGGAGGTTCTTCAGCACAGGAGCTTCTGTCTCTGTGGAATTGGGATACATCATCATCCCAGTTCGTGGATGTGGTCAGCAACCTGGAAGCTCTTTGAACCACATAGTATTGGCATTTTTATGGAGTCTTCATCATGTAGACATGATCAGTTTACCAACTCCATTTCCAGTCTCTCTACCCTCTATAGAGAATGGGAGGAAGAGATGAAAATTCCCAGCTTCTAATCATGGCTTGGTCTTTCTGGTGACCAGCCCCCATTCAAAAACCATACAGGAGCCCACCCAGAGTTTTCTCATTTAGAACAAAATACACTCATATCACCTAGACAATTCCAAGGGATTTAGGAGCCCTGTATCAGAAACTGGGGACAGAGGCTAAATATTCAAACAAAAGATTTGTTCCTAGTGCTCTTACCTGTTAGGAAATTATAAGTTTTAGGAGCTCTTTGCCAAGAACTAGGGTCAAAGACTAAATATTAGAACAAAAGATTCTCCTAGCACCCCTATTTACAAGGGTTTTAGGAGCCCTGTATCAGGAACTGGGATGATATAAATATATATTCTTATATATATACTCTCATGTTCACTTTCTGCCAGTTGTCTCAATGTCCTATAACATTTTTTTCTCCAATATGAGGAATCTCTAATTTCCTGTGGTCTGGGACAGTTCATTAGCTCTCTCTTTTATGATATTGCATTTTTGAAGTGTATAGGCTAGTTATTTTGTACACCGTCCCTCAATTTGTGTTCGTTTGAAGTTTCTCTTAATTGAATTCAGGTTATGTATTTTTGTAGGAATACTGTGTAAGAGATGTGGCTTTATCTGGGCATTACATCAGCTTGTTTTATTTGTGAAGTTACTTGCAATCATTTGTATTGTTCACCAGATTTCTCCATTGTAAAATTATCATATTTTCCCTTTGTAATTAATAAGTAATCATTGGAGACATACTTTGAGAGTATATTAATATCTTGTTTCCCATCAAATTTTAACCTATAGTTTTAGTAGTTACTGATGCTGTTTCCCTGATTTAGTTATTACTATGATTGTAAAATGCTTTTCAAACTCTGTCATTTCTTCAATATTTATTAGATGGCGTTCTACTATAAGTTTTCCATTCTTAATCTACATCTATTTGTCTATCTATCATACTGTTTCTTACTACCAACACTTCTGACACCAAATATGTGGGTTTTCTATACCAAAAAATTATCCTCTTTTCTTCATACACCAACTGGTGTCTATAATTCAGTTCAATTCTGACCCTACCTAGAGTTAGCAAGACCCTGCAGGATAAGGGCTTACTCCCACAAGACTGCCCCTACTTCAGAGCCCTCATAAGCCCAGGCCTCTTCTCCCATACTTCTGACTAACTGGCTATAAAGTAGAGGTTTCTGTGACCCTGACTCAGGTTCAGTAATTTGCTAGGATGGCTGACAGAACTGAAGAAAACAGTTTATTTGCTGTCACTGATTTATTATAAAAGATACAATCCAGGAACAGCCAAATGGAAGAGATGCATAGGAAAAGGTATGAAGGAAGGGGTATGGAACTTTCATGTTTTCTTTGGGTGTGTCACCCTCCCAACACCTTGATGTGTTCAAAAACCTGGAAGTTTTCCGAACTCTGTAGTTTAGGAGTTGTTATGGAGGCTTCATTATATAGACTGGTTGATTAAATCACTGGCTAATGTTAACTCAATCTCCAGCTTCTCTTTCTTCCCTGGAGATCCTGGGGTGGAGCTGAAAGTTTCAACCCTCTTCATGCTTTGGTCTTTCTGGAGATGAGCACCCATCCTGAAGCTATTTCGGAGCACCTCAGCGAAGAGTCATCTCATTGGTATACCAAAGGCACTCTTACCACTCAGGAAACTCCAAGGGTTTTAGAAGTTCTTATGTCAGAAACCAGGGAGGAAGACCAAATATATATTTCTTATTATATCACAGTATCACTCTATCTGATTATCTAAGCAGTAGAGACTTGTGGTTTCTTATGTTATTCAGTGGATTACATTAGTGAATTAAGGGTTTTCTTTAAGTAAATGATAATAACTTTTTTCTAATTTGGCATAATGAGAGGAAATGAGCTAAAATAAAAACAAATTATTTTAGTTAGCACTCTTATTTTTTTTAGGAACAGAGATCACCTCAGATACTTTGTAATGAGAAGCTATACTGTAAGGATACACAGATTAATAAAAAGACAAATTTCAGCCACTTGGCAAGACCTCAGGGAAACCCAGGAAAAAGCCAAACTGAGATTCCAATCCCACTCTCCTTTCCCATGAAAAGAATAAATAGAACAATTATGTGAGCTTCATGGAGAATAGGACTAATAGGCCATTCTAGAGTCTCAGAAAGTTATGGGTTCTTGGTTAACTAACTGTCCATCTAGCCTTAGGAGTTCACAGATCTACTAATAACCTGACTTCCTTTTAAATCTTTGTTTTCTTCCTATTCTTAACTGTTTGGTGTAGCTACTATAGTTCTGGAGAGATGGAGGGATGGAGGGGGAGAGAGAAAGAGAGAGCACAGAGAGTGAGAGAATAGAAAGAGAATAGACAGACAGATAGATATAGGTAGGCCGGCCTGGGAGGTTGTCACCATTGTTATTTGGGCAGAGCTTCTACCAAGCCCCTCATAGTTTGCTTACCAATCTCTAAACTATGTCAGGTGCTCATTCTCAGCTCACTCAGGTATATGGAAGAGCAGCTGGAATCATAATTTTCAGAACACATATTACTCCTTTTCATTGGAATATTCTGTGGCTAGCTCTCCTTCTAGTAGAGTTGGTGGAGAGGGCAATTTCTCTAAGTGGCAACTGAGGATATAGTTGGCAATGTATATCTGCATCCTGGTTCTTCATCCTTCCAGAACCAAGCCCTACTCTGTAGGCAATGTAAGCTAAGTGATTTACTTCCTGTGTTATTTTGAGACTGTTAATATTGCGATAATTTTAAATAATGATGATGCTGAAAATCAATGTAAAACTAGGGCAAGGATTTTCAATTATTTAATACCTTGTATTCACTAAAAATTCTGTGAAACCATGACTGTTAATTAAGTCTGCCATATTAATATGGCCTGATTAAGAGGTGTAAATATTACTCAGTATATTTTCTTAAACTTTTATGTGTTTACAGCATCATCATTTAGTATTTTCCTTAAAAGAGCTATTCAAAATTTCTGTGAATATCTGTGTAGACTAGCAGTTAACATTTTCCAGAAGCCAAACTAGACTTCTCACAACTTATAATTTGCCTTTGAAAATTTTCTGCATTGAATATCATTTGTTCATGTGTTCTCGTTATTTGACATGACTGAAATATTAATAACTAATTGTTTAAAGTGCAATATTTCAGTTAATTCCATGTATAATTAAAAAATTTAAATACATTAACATTTCACAACATAGTCTGTAATTGGGATTAGGTCTGTTTGTGTTTGCTGTTCAAATACTCAGTATATTTGATATTTGGATAAAATGCTATTTTTCATATCAAGTATATTTGTTTAAAATTTTAGAGGGGATATACTAAGGAGCTTTGAAAGTTTGTATTTAACATAAAGTTATTTGATTA